TAGAGTGCTTGCCTTGCATGCCTGAGGCCCTGGGTTCGATTCCTCAGCACCACATAAGCAAAAAGAAAAAAGCCGGAAGTGGCACTGTGGCTCAAGTGATAGAGCGCTAGCCTTGAGCTGAAGAGCTGAGGGACAGCGCCCAGGCCCAGAGTTCAGGCCCCACTACCAACAAAAAAGGAAGAAAGAAAAAGCAGACTGAGAGTAGCAAGAGTAAAAATTAAAGTTGTGGTCGCAGTTGATTTGGGAGGAATGGTTTTAAAAGGTGTGACCAGACCCGGGCACCCATGGCTCACGCCTGTAATCCTAGTTACTCAGGAGGCCGAGATCTGAGGATCGGTTCAAAGCCAGCCTTGGGCAGAAATCCTAGTCCATGAAACTCTTACCTCCAATTAACCACCAGAAAACCAGAAGTGGTGCGGTGGCTCAAGTGGTAAGAGTGATTGCCTTGAGCTGAAGAGCTCAGGGACAGTGCCCAGGCCCAGAGTTCAGGCCCCACAACTGGACCCCCCCCCCAAAAAAAAGAAAGAAAAGAAAATATAACATTATGTCCTTTATAACCAATTTTTTTTAAAAAAAGAAAAATTACAACTCCAGCTTAGATAGCAGCTTTTAAGACATCAAAACCTACTGAATAGCTCCTCTATGATCCTTGGTTATTCTCTGTAATTCCAGTTCCAAACACAAAAATGAATTTAGGACATCCATACCAAATACATTATATCTGCTCTCTCTCTGTATATTTTTTTAAGTCCAGCAATATACAGGAACTCTTAACTGTCAATATTATTTTGAATTAGCATCCAGGTTGTACAAACCAAACACTTAGGAAAGGCATTAATGACATTAGGTTTTACTTTATATTCATAAGCATGAGATAATACAATATAGTTTAACTTTCATCCCTTAGAAAATCAAATCCCAAAAATATATATTGCAGTTATTTCTTTTGATGAGCTTACAAATAATCTCATGGAGTTAAAACATTACAAACTATTCAATCTGCTGAGTTATACAGCAGTGATTTCCAACACAGAGGCAGATTAAGGACTCATATACAGTATACTATAGAAATAGACATTTCAAAAGTATTATGCTAAACAACATGAATCTTTGCTAGTTAACCAAGAATCCCTTTAAGTTATTTGTGGCATGATTCCAGAAGCTCTGTCTGGACTGGATACAAAACATTGAGTTTTTAAAAATTCACAACTTGCAGCATTTGGAGTCTTCAAGTAGATGCACAGTTAAAATGTAGGTTTGTTCATGTATTCTTCCATTGTCTGAAAGAGAACAATGAATGAGAACCATTTTCCCTTTATTAAACTATATCCTCTAGAAGACTACAAATTCTTTTTCTTTATATTTTTTTTGCTATGGAAAATAAGCCTTTCAGAGACACATGTGACACTACATTCTATCAAGAAAGGTAGTTCAATGTTTGAGGATCCTTTGCATATACAACCATTTGGCTGAAGCTACTTATATTTCAACTGAGAAGTTAAGCCTGCTCACAAAATGAGACAAAGGAATGCTAGCTTAACAGCTGCCAAAAACATCATTGTTGATTTAAGATAAATGGATCATAGGGACCACATCCAGGCACTTATACTACGAAAGCCTGAAATGATTTGTATAACATGGGTGGAGTATCTTTATCATACTTTCTGCCAACTCAAGAAACAAAAACATACCAGGATTCTGAAGAATTCTTGCCATATGATTTGAAGAGGCCTTCCTCCAAAGTACACAAATTACCTTTCTCCATTTTACTCCTCATTAGTGAACAAGTTTGCTAACAAGCCCTGGCCCAAGGCCGTAATTAGTTTTCCCCAGCACTTTTTAAATGTTCGAAAAGCTTTAATTACAGCTGAAGTTATACCGTGATGTCACAAAGCCTGTACCATACAAGATGGATGGACTTGCTCTTACACAGCCTCCTATTACAAACACAGGCATCTGTGTAGTACCACGGTGCCAGGTTGAATCAACACATGAGCTCTAAGGGCAGCGAGGTACCCTTAGGGAATCCCCTGCCTCTTTCCTGTTAGCCTCACTTAGCAACCAATGCTTGAGGGTATTTTTTTTTAAGTTTACACCTCAGTCCATGCAACTCCTTTCAACTTGCTGGGAAAGACACTACAAGCACAAGCCGAAGAGATCAGGCCACTGGCCAAGCAAGATTGTCAGGGATACCAGGGTTAGAAAATAGGCTTTTTCCACTCCTGTTCACCTGTTCTCTTCTGAATCCCAGTGCTTCTCTGCTGGAAATAGTTGTACTCAGTCACCCACACTCTCTTCTAAAGCTTAGATCTTAGTACTAGCCTGTTGGCCCTCCCTGACTTTCTCTGAAAGATGTCACCCATGTCTTTTAATGGATAGGGGGCATCATCCTGGACAAAGCATGAGCTGATTTTGTAGATCCTGGAGTTCATTTTTAAAGGAATACAGTTACAAATTAGGTAAAAATTTGTATTGAGAATTAGAAAAGTTACAGCACATTGCTAATATTAAAAAGATGACAGATGATCAGAAAAAAACCCACAATTTTATGTTACTTTCACTAAGAAACTGCTTGACACTCCTCTCTATCTTATATTTACTGTACAGCTACATAAGTCTTTGCGATTAAAATATCTTGATTTTGCAAACCTGACTAGAATAAATGGTTCCATGAATACATCACCAGGCTTCTTCTGCAGAATTAAAGGAGCTTTTGCCAATCAAAAACCATAGGGGAGGCACTTCACGGGCTTCTCTGTTCTTGGTGTCTGGTTATCATCAATACTCAGAGCACATCTGGTGCTCAGATGGGGTGATCATGCCCTGACTCAGCCAGCTGTCACTCAGAGCACACGGAACAGACATGTAAGAGTTGGTATTTTCTTGAGCCTTCCACCTGAACTGTCCATACTAAATCTAAAACCTTAAAGATGCCTCTACCTTTGCCTTCCCAAAAAGCACACTGCAGTTAGTATCCCCACCCATTTCTGCATCTCTTTAGCTAGCGTTCTGTGTTTCTTGTACATTCTGTTTGGAACATGCTGTGACTTTCTACTGCATTGTGACTGGGTTTTCTGCTTTGAAGGGTACTGTGCTGGGGTACAGCAAGCAGGTGCTCATGCATCCACATGGGTAGTATCTTATTTTTCTTTTACTTTTTTGGGGGGGGTCAGTTGTGGGGCTTGAACTCTGGACCTGGGCACTGTCCCTCAACTCTTCAGCTCAAGGCCAGAGTTCTACCACTTGTGCCACAGCACCACCTCCAGTTTTCTGGTTAATTGGAGATAGGAGTCTCTCAGACTTTCTTGCCCAGGCTGGCTTTGAACTAAGATCCTCAGATCTCAGCCTCCTGAGTAGCTAGGACTACAGGCGTGAGCCACCAGTGGCCACCAGTGCCTGGCTTTGGTATCCTGTTTTTTGACCTTGACCTACCATTTGAGATTCCCTTCTTAACCCGCTGCTGTCCCCAGTGGCAACCATAGGAATTGCAGCCTCGACACTTTCTGTTTCTGCCTGTGCCTCTGTGTGTGTGTGTGTCTGTCTGTCTGTCTCTCATACTCACACACACACACAAGAGTCTCTGTACACATCTGGCTGAAGGCTAGCACTCTCTACCACTTCAGCCACAGCTCAACTTCTCACTTACTGGTGGTTAATTAGAGATAGTTTCATAGTCTTTACTGCCCAAGCTGACTTAGAAACACAATTTTCAGATCTCAGTCTTGGGAATAGCTAGGATTATAGGATAAACCACTGGTACCTGCCTCAGTCTCTTTTTCTTTTGCTTCTAAAACTTTCTGTTACCCACATTGTCATTACAATACGTCAACCCCCAAATTAAACTACATTTATTCACTGGTTACCAATTTCTAGCCCTTATAATCTCAGAATAAGCCTTAAGTATTGAGCATTTGGTGATTTGAGACTGTGTGGCTTCTTACTAAAACTGTGAAGACAATCACCCACTCTAACAGAGACTAGGCAAAAATCCCAGGGGCCACTTAAAGATTTACAGTTGTTCTAGAAGTGAAGGTAAGTCCCTGATGCCTTCCCATGCCTACAGTAACTCCACGGTCCGAAGGACAGGGAACCAAGAAGCCATTCTTTCTTCCTTTATGCAATTATATTGTTTTCTCCTACGTATCCTAAACTTTCTGAAGCAGAGAGGCAAATTCAGTTGTTCGATATGTTCCCCCAAATTGAGTACCAGAGCCCAAAGGTCACAAGGAAAACCTGCTTTATTTGGCAGGTGTTGGTAACAAGATCAACTTGAGGGCAGACATGGCATTTACTGCCTAATCACAGAGGACACAGGGCTAAGGGCAAGGTTCCTGTGACCTACCTACCTACCAAGAATGTCCACTCCATCACCAGGGAAACAAAACACCAATTGATGCTTAATTGTGAAACACCTGCTTCCCCAATTTAAACAGAACTAGAAATATCTGATTCACTGAAAGCTCGTTAAACCTGTTTCTAATGGGTGAGGGGTGATTTCAAAATAACCCAGGTCAGGTCTATTTTAGGAAGCTTTAATTACAAAAGCACCAAAGACTCTGTGAAAAGTCCATTTCTCCTGAAAGGAGATTCCACCTGAAGAACCCTGAAGACGACACTGTAAATAACCTCCACCTCCCTTTCCCCCTCCAGCATTTTAAGAAATGCTGTTCTATGGTATTTCCAGATCACTGGTTTCTCTAGTATCTTGGGGGAGAAGCGAGTAAACATCAAGGTGTTTAATGCAATCTTAGCGGTGAGAACCCCAGCAGTGATTGCTTTGGCCCCTTAACCCACACTGGAGCCCTCACAGCGCCCACTGACACTGCTGTCCTTCTTCATATCCACCACCCCGTGACTGTTCCCTCTCTGTCAGCTCTCACCAATGCCAACACATCTGCTGGGAAATGTATTTCTAATAGTGGGAAGAATGGCTTCTTTACCAATCTTAAAGAGGCTCATGACAATGCTCAGAATCCCTCCTCTGACCAGCTGTTATGAAAACAGGGACATGAAAGACTCACTGATGTGGGACACACACATACTGGTGGCAGAACTGGAACAGAATCCGGGCCCCAAACACAATCATGTCAACTGGTGGGCAATGGGCAGTGCAGTGAAGTGTTTTTCCTCATTATGTACTTGGAGGGCTAAAGGGGCTATAAGAAAAGTCCCAAGTTTGACATTGTATAATTCCAGGTATTATGGAGGCAGAAATCAGAGGGTCTTGATTGGAGACCAGTGTGGGTACAGACCTCATCTCAACTAAACAAGCCCCATGTGGTTGTTTGCACTTGGTGTCTAGCTACTTGAGAAAAGGGGCATATGTAGGAAGATCATGCTTTGAGGCCTGCCCTAGGTGAAAATATGAGATTCTAGTTTTTTTAAAAAAGCAAAAGAAAAAAAGGGAGGGGGGAAGGGCATCATTCAAGTGGAGGAGTGCCTGCCTAGCAAGCACAAGGTATGAGTTCAAATCTCAGGACTACCAAAAAAAGGAAGAGAAAATGAAAAGCCCCGCGAGATTTTATGTGAATCGCAATGCAGAGCTATACCAAATGGGTGTTCAGCGCCCATTTACACTGGGCAAGCAAGCCACAGAGTCTCCCATTTCCTTATGCCACCAGCAGCACACATAAGGCCTTTCCAGGAGGAATAAGAAATCTTAATTAAAATGAGGAATGCCACCTTCTATAATATTCCTGGCAATGAAATAACTACATGTTGGTATTCTTCACTCCCAGAGCCACACAGATATTTTAATAAAATCCCTTTTTTAACATCTCATAAAATTATTTTTTCAAAGAAGATGCATTAGCCTCACATCAAAAATTCAGCCAAACAGGACAAGCAAAGACCCATGAATATAAATGCCTGGGTTCCAATCTTGATTTCATACTTACTGAAATTGGGAAGGCTATTGAACTTCTTCATGTCTCAGTTTACTCATTTGAAAAGTGGGAAAGCAATACTACCTACTTGTTAGAGCAGTAGAATTAAGTAACTTAGCTAATACAGTTGTCATGTATTAGAAGAAAATACACAGGTTAGTACCCAGTATTGACTCACATTAAAAATATCATCATCATTTTCTTCTTCTTCCCCAAAGTACTAACCTCCTGTAACATGTCAGATTCTTCAATGGCTTTCACAGCTGTTTTCTTGGATGTTTCCTGAATTTCTCCACCTATTATAAACTCATCAAGGATAAAATACGCCTTTTCAAAATTAAAGATGATATCCAGCTCGCAGACCTGGTGGGACAGAAACAAATGTTTGGATAAATTTGCAATAGAATCAGCAGCAGCAATCACCATGGTCCCCAGCCTCTCCAACAGCAGCCAAAAGACAAAATGGAATTTTAATGACTGAAAAGTAAGGCCAATGAATCTGAGGCCTTTCATAAAAGTAAACGCCCTTATAGTCTTAGGAGAGAAGCACAATGGCGCAACACCCAAGCACCTCCTCCTGTGTATATAAAATAATATACATACTGAAACAAACTCCAAAGATATGAAACAAAGGACTCTTCTTGTTTCTTTTCTTGTTAACTCTGTATTCTTTACTGTATATAAGGAGGATTCACATCCACATCGATGAAAGGGTGGGAAGAGGGCACAGAATCAGAGGGAAAAGGGTGGAAAAGTGCAGCAGTGGAGTGCACTGGCTGCGCCAGACATTGATGAAAGTAAATTATGCAACTTGTGGGTGGAGCTGGGAGAGAAGGAATGGGAGAAAACGAGGGAATAGATGTCACTATGCAAAAGAAGTGTAGTTATTTCTGGATATGTATGTAAAGGTAATCCCGCTGTATATCACCTCTAAAATATAAAAATATAAAATATAAATATCTTTATAATATATTTATAATTGTAATTATATATAATAATATGCTTACAAAAATATATAAATAAAAATGAAGGAGGAGACCTAAAAAAAAAAAAGTAAACATCTTAGATAATGTTTTACACAGGGATAGGCAATTGGAGACTGGGTAGAGGAATGTGGCCACTCAGCTCCGGTGTCCAGTGAAAGCTGAGCCCTCCATTCAGAAGAAGGTAACTCCTCCCACCTCCTCCTCCTCCTGGTCTAGAAATCTCACCTCTTGGCTGTAGAACGCTCAGAAGCTTACTCTATGGAGTCAAATTTGCTCAAAAATTTTGCCATGTATCAGTAGCTTTCCAACATTAGAGTGTATTAAAGTCTTCTGAAAGACTACTTAGAATACTCTGTGTAGGCCTAGACCCTGGGCTTCTGAGCTAGTAGAATATGTCAGCAGATTCCCTTCTGTTGCTGACACTTTAATGTTTCTGTGTGTGTGTATGTGTGTTTTCTGTGTTTGTGTGTGTGTGTGTGTTTTCTGGGTGTGTGTGTATGTGTGTGTGTGTGCGTGTGTGTGTATGTATGTCTGTTTTCTGTGTGTGTTTTCTGGGTGTGTATGTGTGTGTGTGTCCCTGGGTATGGGGGGACTTCACATAGGAATCCACTGTGACCAATCAACAGAGACACAGACCTTGGTGGTGAAGCTCATTCGTTCCTCCAATTCAAGTAGAACTCCTTTTCCAGAGTCCACCAGAAAGCAGTGAAGCAGTCACTTCCCTTGCTCACTTCCTCCATTCCTATTCTGCCACTCACTGACACCCGGCATTGCCTTTCGATCTACATTTGCCTGCTCTCTTCCGGTGTTCTCACTGAAAGTTTCCAGTTCTCTACAGCCAGGGCTCAGCAGCACCTGCTGCTCCTTAGTTTCCTGGCAGTCTCTTCTCCCTTTGCTCCCTTGATCTTGCCAATGCCACCCACTGCCGGTCCCCCTGTCTTTCTCCTCCTCCAGCATCTCTGACAACTGTTTCTCAGAAGGCTTCTTGGATCCTTTAGCTAACCCTTCCCTCACACCTCGCATTTGTTTTAACCAGTGTTTATGGGGTGTCTAAAACATAGCCATCAGACCAATAGACCTAAGTACCTCTGCTGCATGTTGCTATATTCTGGCCAGAGTCTCCACCTTCTCGTTAAATATTGGTGCTGTTCCAGTATTTCCCCCCCCCTTTTTCTTTAGTCCCTATTTTGCTTAGCAGCTGCAGCCTCTTTCTGTTTCATTCATATGAGAGTAGAGTTCTTATTTTCCTTCTCCTTTCGTTCCTCTCACTTCCTGGCCTTGCACTCTCAGTTTAGTCACCAACTCCTCACTGAGTAAACCTCTAACCTTGCCCATTGCTGTCCACCTCAAAGCTGCTCAGGCCTGCAACACTTCTTTGGACTCTTGCAATCACCTTCCATATGGAGTCTATGGCTGTTCAAAGCCATCTATCATTCGCACTGTGCTAAAATGCTATCGTTTTCCTCCCCTAGAGGAGATCTAATGTTCAGAAGGAAGTTTTAATTCTCAGCATGGCATACAAGAACCACCTAGACCAGACCCTGTCTCTCCCCTCCTGTGCCAGCATCCACCCTTCATTACAGTTGCTCTTGTCAACTTGCAGTGTGCTTTCAGGCCTTTGCCCGGACACATTCCAGCAATTCCTGGAATGTTCCCCCAAATGCCCTTTTCTTTATTCTCCTGATAGTGAAATCAGGCTCCTGTTTCAAGACCAAATTCAAAGGCCAAGGACACCAGATTTTCAAATCCTCTTCCCATTCTGATTCCATAAAAATGGTTCCTCATTCACATCTTGCCTGTACTGGTACATGCCTAGCTAGATGTCAATCACTAAGCACTCCTCTGAGATCCAGGCCAGAGCAAAGACATTTCTTCATTACCTTCATATCCCTCCTATCTGGCACACTGTGGGGCACAATAGGGGGATACAAAGATTATAGAGAAAGTGAACAAGCCAACAACCATGGGATTTCTGTGTCTTCATTATGATGGGGATAAAAAACTCTGATTCTTCTGAGTGTTATAACTGTATACAAAATGAGTGCTAATAGTTTAGCAAGTTGCTCTATATATGTAGGATTCACTTTCAAACTGTAGGCATAGAACATGATTTATGTTGACAGATTCAAATGAATGTAGAAGTATATGAACAAATGTATACAATCTCACAGTGATAAATGACCAGCTCAGAAAAACAGCTAACTCATCCACAAAGGTTATAGCCTCTTCATTTGCTAGAATTCTAACAACAGTAAATTATCAAGAAGCAGATAGATAGATAGATGACAGGTAGATTAATAGATGGAACACAGATATATGGATGTATGATATAGAGATAGACAAACAGAAGATGAACGATAGAAAGATTGAAGAAGATGGTGGATGAATGGATAGATTTCTCCTTCTTCCTTAAAAGACTCTATTTCTGTCTCTCTCAATATCTCTATATATAGTGAATATGCATAAATAAACATGTACACACATATACACATGGCAAATTGTAATTTTTTAGTATCTGTTCACAGGATATTTGCTAAATAACCAGACTTCCTGAAAACTACCATCAGTGAAAAAAATGATATGAGGCAATCAAATCCTCAGTTTATGAACTTTTCTTTAACCTTTCATTCAAGAGTTTGAATGACAGTGGAACACAATTGTCCAATCAAAGAATATTAAGACATAATGTTTACAGCAAGAAACAGTGTGTGATATTCACAGTGAGAGATAGTGTCCCTAATAGAGAAAGAATTCTCACAAATCCCAAAGTTAAACATCACAACATAATAATAATAATATAGGCTATCAAGAAACAATTCATGGAGAAGTCAAAACAAGAAAAGGACCCACATACATCTAATAATATACAGCCTCACTCATAATTATAAAAACACAAATTAATCCTCATCTGGAAAGTATGGCTGGAAATGGTACAGACAAAGGTATTCATACAGTTAGTGGGATTTATAAATTTTACAGATGCATATAAATAAGTAAAGCATACTCTAAATAAAAACAAAGAAGAGAATGCCGAGAGGTATGTATGACAATGACTGGTAGCAGTAGCCATCACTGGAAAGTCAGTGGGTCAGGTGTGGCAGGGCCAGAGTGATACAGAGTGGAAAGCTTACGGAATGGAGAAGATTTAAAGAAAGAAGATCCTTCTGAACTAGGAAATATAAGCATCAATTTTTTTCACATCAGATGTCAACTATATTTTAAGCCTTTCTGGGTTACAAGCAATGTGCTCAATGCTGGATTTATAGTGGTGAAAACAGAGAGACAGAGTCTCTGCATTTCTTTAGGAAAGGATGGACAATGTCTAAATAAACAAGATAATTAGATAATGTAATAAATGCTATGGGGAAAAAATAAATGGCGGTAATGATAATGGGGCAGTGACAGCTTGTAGGTATGTGTGTGAGTCTGTGTGCCTGTGGGCAGGTGTTTACTTTCAGTTTTCTTTTGTGTGGCATGACAAGAGCATTGAATATAGCAAGGGCTCAGTTAGTTCACAGTAATTAAATGGATAATCATGCACAATACAGTCTCCAAATCAAAGACCTAAAGTCAAATTCTCCCATTCCACTGCAGCTGGGGACCCTCCAAGTGCACACGAACTTTGTCTCGCTGGTACTCCTCCAACAGTGACTGGAATGTTCTGTGCCAGACATATCAAATTAGAGCAAAATAGTGATGGTAGAAGAGTCAAATTCTGTCTTAAAAAACATTGTTATGAATGTGTTGGAAACATTTCACGGACTGTTTTAGTGGCCTTGTTTTAGTATCTACTTTTTATGCAAATTCAAATTCAAACTGGAGTTTGAACTTCAAGGCTTTAATGCTTGCTAGGCAAGTGTTGTGCAACATTTAAGCCATGCCTCTAGCTTGTTTTGCCTTGTTACCTTTTAAATAGGGTCTCATCCTTTGTCCAGGCTGAACTGTCCCTTCATCTTCCTGCTTGTATTTCCTTCCATAACTGGGATAACAAGCATATACCATTCACCTAGCTATTGATGGAGATGAGGGTCTCAAGAACTTCTTGCTGGACTAGCCTTGAACCTTAATCCTCCTACAGCTTCCCACGTAGCTATATTACTAGCATGAACCACCTGAGCCCAGTGCAGGAGCCGTCAATTTAACATGTACAAATTTGGTCTGGGAAATTGGCTTAGTGGTAGAATACCTGCCTAACATGCATGAAGCCCTATGTTTAATTCCTCAGTACCACATAAACAGAAAAAGCTGGAAGTGGTGCTGTGCCTTAAGTGGTAGAGCACTAGCCTTGAGCAAAAGAAGCTCTGGGACAGTGCCCAGGCCCTAAGTTCAAGCCCCAAGACTGGCATAAATAAATTAATTAAATGTACAAATTCTTTG